TCTGCATAGAGTCCGGAAAGAACTGTTCGTTACAGCAGGCGCAATTAATAAACTAAAATATGAAAGGATTGGATGGCCCTTCAGAGGAGGGATGACGATCGTGACGATTCCCTGCTGGAGTCTGATGTCAAGCATGGACCTCTGAGGGAGGTCTCTGACCTCTCTCTCTGAGAGAACAAACTGCCCAATCGGAATGGACTGGAGTAGAGGACAATGGGATGGAACTGAATGTTGGGGCGTTAAAGAATAAAACGCATCTCAACCCTAATATTTGTTTTTTAGGGAACATCCCACCCTTCTGTGCACGCAGCTTGACAGCTCCTGACTTTCACACGGTGAAATTCGGAGATTCAATCTCTATTGTCTATTGCACAGCTACGCCTTTACTGAGAAAACCCCCCGGCGCAGAGGAGAGAGGCTGAAGCAGCATAAACGCCAGTGAAGCGGCAGCCGTCTGGAACTTGCAAGGGACAGCAAGGCTGTACCCCTCAGCTGCAGGGTGCGTTTACTGGGCTCCGGATCGCTCTCGTTTCCCAGTCCTCAATGGTGCGGCAGTATGATGTATACAAATCCAGAGTCGTCATTTATTATCCTATCCATCCTACCAATGTGGAAAATCACCCGCTGGATCTTTGCCATCTGGATCCCAGAGGTGTCCCCTGCGCCCACAGGGGGAGAAGGAGGCAGTACAAAGGGCTCCCCTACCCTGCATCGCCCCCTGCTGGGCTGTTCCTTGATTCACATCCTCTGAGTCAGAGGGCAACTCATCTTCTTGCAACCAGTTGCTCTGACAAGCTCTGTTCGGTGGCTCTGGTTCACAGTGGAGCTCCTCGGATACTCATGGGGTTTCTAAGTTTTTTTTTTTCCTCAGTGGAACCTTTTTCCTCCCCATGTGCTGAAAGAAGCCGTGGAATTTGAAAGGCACGTCTTTCGCAAGAGCAAGGGGTGGTACAGTCCGCAAGAGAAATTACATTTTTTTAATCCAGCACTTGCACTGCAGAGGAACATCATTTAATGACGGGCAACAGTTGAGCACATTGTGCTCTGGGCTGAAAAGCAATAGACGCCCCCTCCAGCTGCTCTAAGTCTCTGGATCCTGAAAGGCTCTGACAAAATCAAGTCAACCCAGCAGGTCTCTTCGAAATTCCCAAAGTGTGGGAGTTCTGAAAGAAATGAGTCTTTTTACTCCTGAATGGAGAAGACTACAAGGGGACCTGTTCCGCGTGTTCAGTTTTTTCAGCCTGGCGCAGAAGGACATAACTTTAATTCCAGAAATATATTAGGCGGATCTTCTCTGGACTGATTCAGAGCAGCCATATCTAATTTGTAAGGGGGCAGCCAAAATTGTACACAGTATTCTAAATGGGGCCTAATTAGTGCATTGTACAATTAGGCCAAAGCTTGTCGCTAGACGTCTACAGCCTCTCTCTCACAGCACATGAGCAGCTTGCTGGCTCCACAACAAAGTCTCCATTTGAGACTCTTCTCAGCTCTCACAGGTTCAAGTCAGCAGCTATATCATCCTGCAACTCACAACTGGCAGTGCACTAAAGCTCAGTACGTATGAGCCTGACAGTACCTGGATGGGAGACCTCCTGAGAAAAACTAAGGTTGCTGTTGGAAGAGGTGTTAGTGAGACCAGTGGGGGGCGCTCACCCTGCGGTCTGTGTGGGTCCTAATGCCCCAGTATAGTGATGGAGGCACTATACTGTAAAAAAGGCTCTGTCCTTTGGATGAGATGTAAAACCAAGGTCCTGACTCTCTGTGGTCAGTAAAAATCCCAAGAGTAGGGGTGTAACCCTGGCGTCCTGGCCAAATTTCCCATTGGCCCTTACCAATCATGGCATCCTAATAATCCCCATCTATGAATAGGCTCATCACTCTGCTCTCTTCCCCACTGAGAGCTGGTGTGTGGGGAGTGTACTGGAGCACTATGGCTGCAGTCATAATCAAGGTGGGGCTGCACACTGGTGGAGGGGAGCCCCCATTACCTGTAAAGAGCTTTGAGTGGAGTGTCCAGAAGAGCGCTGCGTAAGTGTGAGGAATTATTCATTATTATCATTCTGTCTAGGCAACCGTGGGGGCAGCTGGTTTGGACCCCATGCAAGACCGCAGCAGAGTAATCCTGGGAAAAGTTCCAAATTAGTTACCAAATCCAAGAAACGTCAAGCGATGCCGTAGATCCAGGGATAGAGCAAGAACTTCAAGAGCCGAGAAAGACGATAAGGTTTAGAGTATTCATCCAAAGGGAAAAGCTAGGAAAGAGGGAAGCTCAGCAGTGAGCGGAGTGAGAGGGTGTAAGTAGGGAGAGTGTGTGTGGAATGATAATTGGTTAATTAGTGCACAGAGAGAGGTGCTCGTGGGTATGCGGTGACGTCTAAGTGCTCACATGCGGTTCATGGCAGCTTTCTTCTGGCCAGTTTCCTCCACTTTGAACTTTGAACCCCTGGAGCAGGGGAAATTGTTGCCTTTATTTCATATAGTGCCTTTTGTGACCGTCACAGTTCCTGCACAGGAATGCTTGATGCCCTCCGCCACCCGTTTCGGCCTGCAACACCTGGGGCGCGAACCTGGGTCTCCGGCGTAACGCCACAGGGAACCAGCCGCATGAGCTAAAGGGGACCTCCCTCAGCCCAGGCTGCTGAGGTCCCTGCTACGCCCAGGGAGGGCGATGACGTCACCGTGCCCGAACTAGCTCCGCTACACTTTCATGGTGCATAATCTCAAAGCGCCGGTGTTTTCTCAGCCCTTTGTCTCTCATGGAGTTAACTCTCAAATCGCTGAGGTCCAAGGAGTAAAATGCTCTGAACAATATTGGACTTTAAAGTACTTAAAAATCAGCATAGACACGATTCCCTTTGATGTTGTATCACTATAATAAGTCAGTCCCTGCAAACTGTTGTCTGTTTTTTAGTATCAACCAAGATTTTCCAAATACTATATCCTTTTATTTTTATCCAAATCTACTTGATGAAACACTGTACCTTTCAATTTGGTTTTCTGTATATATAATATCTATTACATAAACAAGGATATATGTCCTACAGTTCATTATTTTATATTAATACAGCGCAGTATGAAGTCATCTCTACAAGCATGCGTTCTCTGGGAATTTGTCAGCTGTCTTTGGGTCGTTCCAAGCATATCCTAAGGAAAGACTACAAATCCCAGAAGGCCAAGCAGCCCGTGGCCTCCAGACGAGCTCTGATTGGCCA